TAATTTAAACAAGACGAGAGAGAGTAATATGAGATGAAGAAAAAGAAGAAAAAGGGGGTGGTCGCGAGTCGAGGCGGTGTCGTCGGCCGCGTCGAGCAAACGCACGGCACAGCGGGTACTTTCGTCTGAATCACAAGCGCTTTCCGGAAGTTCCCATAGTTAGCAAGGACGAGAACTCGAGAGCGTTTCTCTCCCGCATCATCCTTATGATCTTTTTCGGTGCCGTTCCGTTTTTTCATTCGCGAGGGGACGCGTCCTCACTGTCGGTCGATCGATCGACTGAGGACGCCGCGATTAAAATTATTGCGCGCTCTCGAACGAACTCTCTCCGAATCGTCCGCCTTGATTCGACCCTGACGCCGTGCGCTCGCAACGCGCGTGCCGGGTACGCGCGTTTTAACAGAGCCGGAGATTATACTCTGAGAGATGCGTAATTGTATCGTCGACGACCACGCGCCGATCACTCGATCATAACGTAGGAGGAGCGTGGCATTGCGGGGCCGTTGCGTCTAAAAAAACAAAAAAAAAAAAATGAAAAATAGAAAAGGAGAACAATGTAAATTGTGACGAGCGTGTGATGATTTTTGAGAAAAGACCACCGGTCGTCGGTCGTCGCCGTTCGAGCGAGCAGAAGACGAAAACGCACGCGACTCGATCGGGTCCACGTTTTTACTTGCGCACAAAAGCACGTGTGCTCCCTCGATCATTTAGGAATTGAGAATTAAAAAAAATATATATATATATAATCGGCATGAAGAAGTGTCACACAGGAGAGAAATCGCAATTACTCTAGTCCTATATGCGGTCGACGAATAATACGGCACACGTGTGTTCGCGAGTGATCGGGCGTGTCGCCATTTCCTTTCGTTTCTCTTTGTTCTAAAATCGTGGAGTTGTATCATGTACTGTTCTACCAAAATATATTAGCAGCAGCAGCAGCAGCAGCAGAACTGACAGTAAAACGGAGAGTCGTTTAACTGGATATTGAATGACAAAAGTTAAGTAAAAAGAAACTGCAGCGCACGATATGAAAAACAACAACTATCAAAAACAATAAAGAGTATTATTCTATATATAACAATGACTTTTATTGCACCTCATCTTTCAGCAATAATCATCAAGATATAGGCGAATGCTTTCAAGCGATTGCTTGCCAAGCCAGATCGAGGCTCGTCTGTATGCTCAAGGCACAATTTGTAAAAACCAATCTTCTCTTTTTATATCGACGCAATTAACAAATTACAATCTTCTGCGGAAACATCAGACTTTAAATCACTATACACTATAGGAATTCTCCTCTCGAAACATATAACTTCAGATACCTGGAAAGTTTAAAAAAAATTATCAAATTTTAAATATAATAAATAATTATAAAATATAAAGAAGAGCAACTTTAACTTCTTCATAGTTTATTATACTTACATTATAAACATGCAATCAAATTTTTCTAAAACGAAGTAATAGATAGTTTCTTTTTGCTTATATATCAGTTTGTCAATAATGCGTAATAAGTATAAACAGTCAGAGAAATATTCTTTTGTCAATGTTTTTTTTTTTGCCGGATACAGTTGATTTTTAACTCTTTAAAACGCTTCATGTGCAACAATATTCCCTTCAAAAATCTGTTTAAATCTTTATTAAAATTTTTTTTATTCGACGACTGAGAGCTGTTCATGTTTCCCTGTTCACACGGATATTATCAAAATTACTTAATTTCCGAAGAGCCAATATCGACATAAACTTGAAGAATATGTGACGAATTGACATTCGAAGTCATCAAGGTATCTTGCTCATGCACCATGATATGCTTTAACGTATTCTCTTTCCTATTTAAAGATCTCGTGGATGCTGCGCATCGATCTGCCGTTGTGCGTTTAGCGTGTTTCAACATGTCGTTTTTCTGCGAGAAGCTTTTACCACATGTCTCGCAAGGATATGGCTTAACGCCCGTGTGGATTCTCTCGTGCACGGTTAGTGTACCCTTGCGCGTAAAACCTTTGTTACAGTAATGGCACTTGTGCGGCTTCAGACCTATGTGAATCTTCATGTGCTGACTGAGATTACTGGAGCACCTGTATCGCGTATCGCACACTTTGCAAACGTAGGGACGTTCACCAGTGTGTATCCTCTCGTGGATCAGCCGCGCTTCTCTCGAGACAAACGAATCTCCGCAATAATGACACATGTGCAACTTCTCCCTTAGATGCATCGACTTCTTGTGATATATCAGTGAGCTTTTACTCGCTAATTTCTTGCCACATTCATCGCACTCGTAAAACTTATCGCTCCCGTGCACGCGCTCATGATTCATCAGGACAGCTCGCTTCGGGAATATTTTATTACAAATCTTGCAACGCCATATTTGTTTATCGGTGCATTTTTTCTTAATGCTATCCGTTATTTCCTCTTCGGTATGCTTTTTTCTATGTATCTTCAATTCACTCATGGACTTACATTTGTATGCACAAACCTGTAATAAAATAAACAATTCGATGCCGGTTAATTTTTCCAAGAAAATAAGAAATTCATAAAGTTTTTTTTACAAGATAATGCACAATGCACTTACACTGCATGTGTATCTTTCGTTTCCGTTATTATGCCGTTTCATGTGCGTATTCATGTTTCCTCTGCGATTAAACGTTGCACCGCATATCGGACACACATGCCTGTTAGAACCATGTGATAACATATGTTGCCGCAATTGAATTCTCTTGCAGAAAGCTTTCCCGCATTGTTCGCAAGAATAGGGTCTGTTATCATTATGTTGATTCATATGTTCTCGCAGATGAAACCTACAAGAGGTAAGTTGTGAAAAATATAATTATATAAAAATATAATTATATTTCTAGAAATATAGCTGTAAAATAATCCTGTAGCTGTAAAGTAATGAAAATAAACTTCTGTTTACTACCGTGATCTGAACGCATTGCTACAGATATCACATACATGTCTCTTCTTTATAGATTCATCCAAGTGAATTCTTTTATGACCTCTTAAATTATTGGAATGCTTGAAGCGTTTTCCACATAGATCGCAAAGATAAGGTTTATCCATTTTATGAGTAGCTTCGTGAATATCTAAACTAGACCATTTTTCATATGTCTTGTCACAAGTAGAACATTTAAGTAACAATCGCCCCTCGTGCGATTCCATGATATGAATTAACAAATCTTTTTTATTATGATATATTTTTTTGCAATGGCCACACCATTTACTCGTTTCAGTGAAATTTCCGTGAAGACATTTGTGATTATCATAATCTTGCTGACTTTTAAATGTCCGATTGCAAATAGAACAATGCACTGATTCACAAGTAGCTTTTTCGATAATTTGTTTGCCATCAAATTCCTCATTACATGTCTGTGAATTTTCTACTTTGCGATTGGGCTCATTCTCACACTTTTCATTCTCTGTAATTCTAGATATATTTATATGTTTTGAGACATTCCGTTCCTTGGTACAAGATATCTTATGATTCTCAAATATTTCCCAAGTTTTACAAAAAGTTTGACATTGTAGACATAAAAAGCTAGAATTTTCATTCTGAATTTTATCTTGTAGAACTTTTAATATTTCTTCCGTGACAATCATGTCACTTCTAACATTAACATTACTACAAGTTTGGATTGTAGTCCTCAGTGGCACATTCTTTGCAATGGTCTGACAATTATTACTCCGTATTTCTTCATTTTCTAATCCTCTTAAACTTGTTTCCGAGTCAGGATTTATCAACTTATTAATGATGAATGAATCAGCATGCATATTATCATCAATGCACATCTCTTGATCTATCTCTAATGAACATTCGTCAACCAATGCACTATATTTATTCTCATATCCTGACTGCAAAACAAAATATATTTATAGATTGATAAATATATTTAAAAAATATTTTTTATACAGAAATATAACTTACAAATATTTAAAAATTGACTGATTAAGTGATAAATAGTAAATTATTTCTTACCTCTTTTTCAATATTTAAAAATCTCTTCAAACGTATATCAGTTTTCAAACATGAAACAACTAATGAATGTGCAATTTCCAATTTATTGCAGCAATCGGAGCACATTTTTTGTGGTAAACAGTCATCTATGTCGATTGAGATAGGCATATGCAAATTTATCCTTTCCTTCAATCTAAGCTCAATACCTTTGGTAGCAAAAATATCTGTTCCATTCAGAGTAGATTCACCACAGATCCGACATAAATTGTCGAGTCTAATGCTGACATTGTCCATCTCGACATTTTCGTTGTAATAAATTAGAGGCATGCTATCGCCTACTTCTTGCAGATGCTGTGATTTATCAAACGTATTTATTGAATTGTCACTGCCGATACTCGAATCATTCCCAAATAAAGTAGGAACGGTACCTTCTTCTATAACAATGGGAGCGGTTTTGCTTACGTAATGACGATCTTCAATGTGATGGGAACAAATGTAATGATTTGAATGCAATTCTGCATTCGACTTTGTGGTCAAGTCTGATCTGCCGCAACACTCCGCCCATGTTTTGGCTCTACAAAAATTATTATCAAGTTTGGACAGCATAAGTACATCCATGTGTGACAACTACAGCTGTTCAGCAAGGATGAAATAGACGAAATAAGTAAATAAAGCCGAATAACAATCCAAACATTGTAAAAAAGTTCATTAATTTATCAAAACACTTATCATACTTACGTGTCGTCGTTGGGAAAATTGATAAAAATGACGTTCGACGAATCCTCGCTTTTTGAGGAATATTTGCAATTTGATGCAGCGCAAACGATCCTCATATCGAATGATTATTGTTAATACAGAATGCTGTGTTTTGCTGTGTATCAGGGATATATCTCTCTCTCCACATCAAGGAAAAATGAGAAAGGAGAAGCTGTTTCGAGAGATTGCAATGAAAATGCGATTGCTACGCCGACTTGGTTACGTTCAACAAACTAATGCATTCGTGGCGCTATTTTAAAATTATATATCCCGAGCCACGACTAATTTTCCGATTAAATATGTGTGGATTCTTCATGCTAATTGATTTTAATGAATAAAAGATTACGCAAAATTACAAACTGCCTGGAAATATAATTAATTTCGCAATGCAATTCACAAGCCGTTAATGCAAATGTAATTAATGCTAAATCAGAAATCTATGTAAATATCGAAAGTGATATTATGAAATGAATACGATTCATTGATATGAATACGAGTCCGAAATACGAATAACTCAATAAGCATAATATATTTCCATTGTTCATGAATATGAATTCGCTTAAGTAACAAAACACGCATTTTGCATTTTGAATAATTTAGTTATTTAGGTCATTACATAACAAAACTAAACAATCGGACAGCATTCATTTGAAAATTGCTTTATATTTATTAAAATTTTAACAAAACTATATATATAAAATGGCCCACTTTAAATGACTCGTATACCTTGAAAAAATATAGAAGATATGGAAAAGTGTTTTAGACAAATTGTAGAATTTCAATTGAATAAAAGAAGAGAAGAAAAGATTTCTATAACTTTTATCTGAAATGTTTTTTTTTCATATTTTCCATATTTTTCATGATATTTATCTGTATCACTTATTTTATATATAACAAAAATAAAATTATCAAAATAATTAGAAATTATATAAACAATCTGATGTTATTCGACTGAATCCAACTTATGAAATACTTCTGGATTGTCAATATCCAGAAACAAGCATTTAAAAATATCGTTATAGAAATCCGGATAATATTCGCACGCCCGCTTGCAATCGGGCGTAAAATTTATTTCCAATAGTTTAGGTTGCATTTCATTATCTCGCCATTCTAGCATCAAGTCGGCAGCGTACACGGCTCTGCTCTGCGGACTCTCAGCTATTCCTTTCGGTGGTGGCTGCGCGACTGCGGCTTCAAAAACTTGTCGTAACACAGACAGAATCTTCGGTTCGACATAAGTTCTCCAAGAATAATCAGGATACTGATTTTCCCATTCTATAATAAAATCGGCACATTTCATGTGGAACAGCGAATTCTCCTCGGTGTAATTCATTACGGTGAAATGTTGCTCGTATGTGTTAAAATTGTTCAGCGCGAACGATTGATTTGCGAAACGCAGGAAGAAGTTCGCATAGGCGTATACGCGCAGTGGCTTTACCGATTTCAGCAACACGACATATCGTATGTCAAATTTCACTTGATTGATATCCGGTCTATTATATAGAACCGGGCAGGCGATGTATTTTTGCGCGATTTTCGGTCCTGTAAAAGGCAATCGTAGAATGTGATACAGATTATTCGTGATGTGAGTATCCAAGCCTCTCGCCAAATTCCACGGTTTGCAGATCCAATGATTATCCAGATTCTTCTCAGCTCGTCGCGTGAAATACGCGACAAATTGTACTAATTCCGTGCTCAAATTATACGTCGTTGGTAACCAAGTTGGATACGTTTCGAGAGTATCCGGGTCGTACAATTTGTCCGTCGCTTTTCTTCTGCATATAATCGATAAGAGATCTTTCGTCGTTAACACGTTCTCGTATGGAAATTGATTTATAAAAACGTGTGGCAAGGAAACATTCAGTTCCTCGTACGTTTTGTAGTGAGACACGAGCCATAGTATATCTGCCTCTTCTCTATTATCGGTAACTTCAAATGCTGGATCTGTCAAATAATCATTTACATAACTGTATTCTGAAAAAACCTTTAATTTTCTGCTAGTATCTATCCTAATCGTGTCAAGATTTTTCGGCAAACTTTCAGGAATATGGCCTGTCAAAAAATAATCTGCATCTGGCTCGCTCTGATCAAAATTTTCATCTTTAAAAGTGCTATGGATCCAAGGTAATAACAGTGCACATCTTTTTTCAGGACATTTCGTTTGGCCTTCTGCAAAATCTCTCGTAACTTCATCTCCTGCAACAGAATCTTTTATAGGAAACAGAAGCGTATAAATTACACCATCCAGCATATATAGAAAAGGCACGGCTCGAAAATTTGGCTCATCACTGTGATTTATTGCTGAACCAACTTCGTCCATAATATACCATACTGGCATTCTGTCTTCTATATTCCCATAATTCAATGAATATGACTGATTGTAACGCCACATTTCATTCAGAACATTTTCAATTTTCTCCTGTTCATCTGCCTCAGTATTTATTCCCATGAGAACGCACATACGATTGAGTAGACCAGGTACTTGAATTAAATTCTGTTGAGCACTGCTAACATCGTACGTCCATGCGTGGTCAATAAGGTAAATATTGTTGGAATCATCAACAGAAATACCCTTCTCTGCAGATACAATTAGCTTCCATATCGGTTCAGTGACATGCCTTTCTCCATTTTCATATTCCACTTGCATCAATTGAAAAGCGAGGCCAGCATCATAAATCTGATTTTGTATCTTCTTGAATAAAATTTTCCAAAACAATTGCGGAACACCATAAGACTCAAGTTGCAGCTTATGTGTCGTACAAAACGTATCAAATAAATCAATACCATCCATTATAAGAAAGAATAGATAAGTTGCTCTAAAACAGACGATTGGATTATGAAGCGATTATTTAAATAATTTACAAATAAAGTCAAATATACATTACCAAAAGAAGAATCGGTATTTCTTAACGTACACGTGAGACATAAAAATGACTATATAAATGGTTAATACATATCAG